TGTCTAGTTATCATGGATGCGACATTTGAGTGGGATGATGAGATGAAGAAAATGAGGTGAGGTGCTGTAGTATGATAACCCCGAAGGTAACCACTCAGCTAAAAGGAGGGGGGTGCGGGGGTGCTGATGACAGTGTTGTGGAGGTAACATAATTAGGAGCAATAGATGTAGCGGCGGATGTGTAATCAGAGAATCTGGCACATATTGTTTTAGAGAAGAAAAAATCAACTAGAAGTTTCCAAGGTTGCGGACAGTATTGTGGGTGGTGGGGAGAAGTGTAAGACACAAATATCCCTTAGATTGAGCTACCTTGTAAACCGCCCGCGTTATTATTCCGATGTCCTAAGTTTATGAAATTTACACTTTTCAGTAATTTCTTTTTTTGAATGTAAGGGTAAAATGGTCAATTTACATGTAAGTTCGAGATGTGGCCATTATAAAGTGTAAGGGTGATTTCATTGAGAGAATAAGGGTAGAATGGTCATAAAGTTTGATTGATATGGTTAATGGCATAAACGGTAACCAAGGGTATAATGGTCTTTCATACAAATCCATATGAAATAAGTATCCACAAAGTACAACCAAGGGTAAATTAAGTCATTTACCTAATGAGATTGCTTAATTGTTTAAGGTTGTTTAAGAAGTCAATGGCATTAATGAGTGCTAATCATTATGTTGTGGTGAAATGACCACAAACGCCTTATAAAAAAATTTATGCTAATGACCTTGTATCTAACTTTATTGACCAATCACATTAGAGTAATACAACACATGGAATAACTATGGCCAACATCATGACAGAAAGGTCTCTGCGTTTTGAAAATGGTTTAGAAATCTTCAAATTCAAAAAAGGAAAACACATAAAAGTTGAGAAGAAGAAGAGAAATTTCCTTAAAAATTCATTTTGATTACCAGAGGCAAAGTTAATCAAATACAAAATTGGATTCTAGATATTCCTAAAATTTATGCTGTTGTTATACTAATGTACATAAATAATTTACTTCGCACAAGAAAAAAAATTAACAAAACTTAATGACATACCAGCAGTACTGCGTTAGCCATATTTATTGATGAAACCAAAAAACAAAATAATAATAATAATTTGATTGGAACTGAAAGAAGAATTAACTTGGCAAGACTTTATTTCATGATGATGTCTTAGAATGCTCACATGGTAACTTCCTGCAGTTCATACAGAATACAGTAAAGTGAGCCCAATTATTCTTATATAGCTAATTTATACACGCTGAGCCCCTGCTAGCTTCCACAAACAACACACTACATGTTGGTTTAACGTCAGGACTCGACTAAACATATTAATTTCATTCTTACCATGTCCTTAATGAAAGATCGATTCATTAATTATGGGTCTTTACTTTATAATCTTGGTCGATCTTTTATTAACTTTTTTCTTGTTTCATTTCAACACAGTAGACAGAGAAAGATGACTGTAAAGGAAAATGCGAGAGGATGAAGAAAGGAAAAACAGAGTTTCATATTTCATTACGTGAACAGTAAACTATTACAAAATTTATACATGCAGATCATTCTTCTCCACCATTTGATCACTAACAAACTGATTAAATACAAGAAATACGGTTCGTTTGATCTGCAACTTGCGTCTCCACTTGCAGGCCAACTTGTATCTGTTTTGCAACTTGTATTTCCCACTTGCTTGCCGTTAGTAGATGATAAGGCCAACTTGTATCTGTTTTGCAACTTGTAGTGCAAGTTGTTTTCCCAGTTGCATGCCGTTAGTAGATGATAAGTGTGAACTGAAGTTGGCACAATTTTGACACTGCATATGTTTTCTACGGTTTGGATCTTTTGCTTCAGTGAAGCTTGATCTTTTGGTTAACATCGTCGCTCAAGCTGAACTTAAGTAAAAAAAAAAAAAATTGAAACTGTAGGGAGAGGTTGAGAAAAAAACTGGACTGATTTTATTTTTCAGGGATTGTTTATTTCTGCTGCTGAATCCTCAGAATTTGAGGCTTGACATGCAAAGGATCATCCCTCAAGCTCAAATGGGAAGGAGGCAGCACCAAGACGCAAATCATCACGAAGAGTTTTAAACTGAGAACCAGACAACGGCTTGGTCAAGATGTCAGCAACCTGAAACTGAGAAGCAACATATTGAACCATCAAACGTTTAGACTGAACCATCTCACGAACAAAGTGAACGTCGATTTCAATGTATTTGGTGCGTGCGTGGAACACAGGATTGACGGCAAGAGCACCTGCACTAGTGTTATCACACTAGAGAACAGGAACACCGGGGATGGTAATATGAAGCTCACGAAAAAGATTTTGGAGCCAGGCCACTTCAGTTGAGGCTTGAGCCAAGGCACGATACTCAGCTTCAGTGGAAGAAAAGCTACCACATGCTGTTTTTTGGAACTCCATTGGATTAAGTTGGACCCAAGAAAGAGACAATAGTCGCTGGTAGATTTTCAATCAAACAAATTACTTGCCCAGTCGACATCCGTATATCCTTCAAGGTGCAAGGTGGAACTTTTTTGAAATGTAAGGCCATGACTCAGAGTGCCCTAAAGATAACGAAGAACATGCTTACAAGCTTGCCAATGATTAGTTGTTGGAGCTTTTAGGAATTGGCTCAGCTTATTAACAACAAAGGATATGTCTGGTCTAGTCATTGTAAGATATTGGAGAGCACCAATAAGACTATGATACAAGGAGGGCTGATAAAAAAGAGGTCCATCATCAAACTGCAACTTGGAACCAAGCACCATCGGAGTAGAACACGGGTTGCAATGTTGCATACCAAAACGCTGGAGAACTTCTTCAGCATACTTTTACTGATTTAGTTGAAGACCATAAGGTGTATGAATGACAGAAATGCCAAGGAAGTAGTGGACAAGACCAAGAATCTGAAGGCCAAAGGTTTCATCCAAATAGGTGACAACATGTTGAATATGAGAAGCATTATTACCAGTTAACAAGATGTCATCTACATAAACAAGTATGTAGACAACTGTAGTATCTTGATGATAGTTGAACAGGCTGGAGTCTGATGTAGAATTAATAAAACCGTGACTAATCAAGGCTGACTTAAGCTTGTCAAACCATGCCCGGGGTGCTTGCTTTAGCCCATATAGGGCTTTGTGAAGTTTGCAGTAGGGGTGTTCAAAAGCGGTTAACCGAACCGGTTAACCGCTTTGCTGAACCGAACTGAATTTTCGGTTCGGAAAAATTTCCAAACCGAAACCGAACCGGTTTTAAAGAAAACCGGTTTTTCGGTTAACCACAAAACCGGTTAACCGTTTTAAAAAAAACGGTTAACCGTTTGTGAACCGGTTTTCCATTTTTTTNGGTGGGGTTAATGCTACGGGACTCTACACCGAATTACGTGTCCCGTGACTCACACCAGTCATGTTTCACATTCATAAATATTTTACTAGTGAACAACCATTCATCAACTATGGACGGTCGTTCACTTACGATGGACCCTCATCCATATTATATAGACATGAGTCCACATTTAAATGACGCATGTTCATCAGTAAATAGAAAAAACAATATAAACAAAAATAATGGATGTCTGTTCATAGGTTATGGACAGTCGTCCCTAAACAAAGGACGGGCTCCATATATAATGGAGACCCGTCTAATCTTTAAATAATAAAATTTTTATAAACAAAATTAATGGACGGGCGTTCATATGTTAATGTAAATATACAGAATTCTGGACGGGTGTTCTCAAATAAGGGGTGACCGTCCATAATGTAAATGTAAAAAAAATAAAACAAAATTCTGGACGGGCGTCCCTAACATGTGGACTAGCGTCCACATATAATGGACGCCGGTCCATTATGTGCCTATATATATAGCGTCCACACTAACCACGTTTCACATTCATAAATATTTTGCTAGTGAACAACCATTCATCAACTATGGACGGTCGTTCACTTACGATGGACCCCCATCCATATTATATAAACAAGAGTCCACATTTAAATGACGCATGTTCATCAGTAAATGGAAAAAACAATATAAACAAAAACAATGGATGTCTGTTCATAGGTTATGGACGGTCGTCCCTAAATAAAGGACGGTCGTCCCTAAATAAAGGACGGGCGTCCACATATAATGGACACCCGTCCAATCTTTAAATAATAAAATTTTTATAAACAAAATTAATGGATCAGTGTTCATATGTTAATGTAAATATACAGAATTCTGGACGAGCGTCCACAAATAAGGGACGACCGTCCATAATGTAAATGTAAAAAAAATAAAACAAAATTCTGGACGGGCGTCCCTAACGTGTGGACTAGCGTCCACATATAATGGACACCCGTCCATTATGTGTGGATGCCCGTCCATATGTTGTGGACGGGAGTCCATATAGAAAGGATGGTACGATCGTCCATAATATAATAAAATGTTTTTTTAATTTACTTTTTTTTTATCTGCAAAAAACATTAGCTTCTCCAATACAGCTTCTCCAAAAACAAGTGCCAAAATTCTTCAAGCAAAAGAAAAAACTTCATTTTATACCTATTGATGCCTTCTGTTTCATCATTCTCGTATGTTCTTCGCGTCTACATTCTTCTCGAGTTTCTTCCTCAACAACCAGCTAGGGGTGTTCAAAAGCGGTTAACCGCATTTCTGAATCGAACCAGATTTTCGGTTCAGAAAAATTTCTGAACCGAAACCGAACTGGTTAACCGTTTTAAAAAAAAGCGGTTAACCGTTTGTGAACCGGTTTTCCATTTTTTTATAAAACTTTTTTTTTTTAATTTTATCCTAAATTAAATTGTAAATAAGTAAATATAGACAATACATATCCAAATAAAAATTAAACATTTATACATATCCATTGACCACTACTAACAATAAATTAAAAATTGATACAAATAAAAGTCCGAAATGAAATAAAAATAAAAGTCCATAATAAAACAACAAAATAAATAAATAAGTCCCAATAGAAAACAACAAAAGAAATTTGGCATATACAACTCCACAAATAGAAAGCGAAAACCAACATTAAGTCAATACGAGTAGATCTCCCAATATCTGCCCAAATAAAAATTAAACGTTAGAAGTTTATAAAAATTAAATCATATTTTTTTTTCATTGCCTACAATAAAAAACTATTAAAGAAATCAAACCTCAATTAAATGCTGCAAAACCTTCAATCATCAAGATGAATACGAGTAGTATTTCCCATTGCCGAAGACACAAATTCTATAAAAAATAGGTCATATAAATAATGGTTAAATTTAAAATTCAGTTAATAAATCCAATAAAGACAATATAATAACTAATAATTGAAACTAATGCAAAAACTTTACCTGACTCAAGCTCTGCTATCTCTTCCAAGCTCTCCTCAATCATGAATGGTTCACGTGTAGCCCGAATCCAATCTTGTGTGCAAATAAGAGTCTCCACCATCTTAGGAGTGAGGGAGCTATGAAATGGATCTAATACACGACCCCTAGTGCTAAACGCTGACTCAGATGCAATAGTAGAAACCGGCATAGCCAACACCTCTCGTGCCATCGAAGAGAGAACTGGATATCTATTTGAATTGACTTTCCACCAACTCAAGATATCAAACATGTCGTCCTTGTGACGCTGCTCACATTCATCCTCTAAATATTTATCCATCTCATATTTGGTTACCGTAACCTCCTGTCCAGCCATTGCCTCATCGTACATACAATACATCAATTCTTTGGGATCAACATTTACATCTTCCACATTAACTTGACTTGCTTGTTGAGACTTTGACTAGATTGCCCACTTGGAGAACTATAAATGAGCTTGTATTGGTCAAATAAAGAATACAGAGTTGTATGCACTTGTCTTCAAAAGTTCAGCATTAGCATCATCATAAGATTTACTAATAACCTAATTCACATATCCTAACTTGAATCTAGGATCCAACACCACTGCAATGAATAACATTAAGTTGATATTATCAATATTTGACCAATATTTATCATGTTTTCCCTTCATTCTCCTAGCCATAGTACTTAAGCCAACATCATTACTTCTAGACCATGTTGAAATCTGCATTCCAATGGCAAAGATCTTGCGCATGTATGCATTACCAGTAACACAAAGTGAGCCTGACACGCGTAGAGTAGCATCATACAAAACTTTCAAAAAAGGTAACAAGTAACGGGCATACTCCCAATCACTAGGCTTAGGCAAACCCATTGACTTTTTCCCTCTAGTAAGTTCATCTTTATACTTAACGTCTTGGATTTCCAACAACTCAAATGCTTTCTGAAATTTTAAAGCCACATCCAACATTAAGTACGTAGAGTTCCACCTTGTTTCTACATAAAGAACCAAAAGATTTTTTTGTTCAATCTTTTCTTGCTCTACACACTCCTTAAACCTCTGTAATCCCGCCAGAGAAGACTTCACATATATCACTGTAGAGTGAATTCTAAAAATGGAGTCCTCTATGTCTTTTAACCCCTCTTTTACAGTGAGACTCAATATATGTGCACAACACCTCATGTGCAGAAAATCACCACTCAAAACACTACCCTTCCAACTTTCTAACCGGTTCTGGAGATATTTTATTCCAACATCATTAGAATTTGCATTGTCAACGGTAATGATGAAAACCTTAGAAATACCCTAATCAAGCAAACACCTCTCAATTGCCTTACCAATCAATAAACCTTTGTGACTAGCAATTGGACAAAAATTTAAGATCTTTTTGTGTAATTTCCAATCATCATCAATGAAGTGAGCCGTCAAACACATATAGTTAAGGTTTTGGCAAGATGTCCATGTATTCGTGTTAAGACTTACTCTTTTACTAAACTTACTAAAAAAGGCCTTCAACTTATTTCTCTCCTCAACATAAATATTAAAACAGTCTCTAACCACAGTAATACGAGAGGGAACTTGAAATAAAGGTTGTGCATCCTTCATCATATTGCGGAACCCCTCACGTTCTACATGCCTAAAGGGTAACTCATCAACAATTATCATTCTAGCTAGAGACCATCTAAGCCTATCTGGATTGAATTTCCAAGTTGTAAGTGAAGATTGTGTGGAGTTGGCAGCAGTACCACTTGATTGGTCATTTGATTGTGTCTGTTGAAAAACTAAGATCTTTTGTTTCTTATCCATGACATTCAAAGGGTACTTTTTACATCGACTTAAGTGATTCCGTAGACAACTAGTACCACTTTTACTTGGACATGCAAGCACATTCCCACAATAATCACATGTTGTTGTCCTATCATCCATATTCTCACAAGGATTTACAGAAAAATGATCCCACATGTTAGAAGTATTTTTTCGAGTATTAAAACTTGCACGTTTGGGAACTCATGGTGGTCGTGGTCATGGATCAGGATCCGTAGAAGGCTGTGGGGCTACCAATGAGTTTGGAGTTGGATTCCTACTAGTTGGTGTCTCCTGACTCTCATCAGTATTAGAATGGTCAGCAGCCATGGGGTTAGATTTGGACATCTGCAACATCAACATGAAGATCTTAATGTAAGTGAAAGGACATTCCTAGCAGTCCATACAACTAAAAAAAAGAACCAAATTTCAGAACAAGCAACATTAAGATGCATTTCGCCTAAAGAAGAATTTCATTGAATGGTTACATACTTGACTCTCAAACCAAGACTATAACAGTCTAATTGCTTTTGAACAAATACACAAAAAAAATCTAATTTCTTAGTGTTTCTGTATCCAGATCCAGTGAAATGGGAATACTGCCATTATGTTTCCTCTGTCTAGTCTTAAAATCAAGACTTTACAAGTGAATTGATAACACATAAGCCAATATATCATGAAGACTAAAGAAATTCATGAAATGAGAACCTGAAACTAATGTGTGTATAATTAATAAAATTCATGTTATATGGCGCGACATGCCGCTCATTTCTCTTGCAGGATGCAAAGGAAACGGGATTTGAAAATGGTTCAACATTCTGAATTTCTGCTCACTATGGCTATGCGACTTCTGAAAAAGAAAAAAAAAATTCTTTGTTTCCAAGCAAAGCATATGCTAAACTTGCTCAATAAGCTAATACTACTGGGTGATTCTTATTAGAACAAAGTGTCACTACAGGAGAACAAAGGTATATTCTCAGCTCTGATCTATCCTGCAAAAGGGGTGAAAGGACACATAACTAATTGATTTTTTTCTTTTGATTTTTCGATCTTCCCAGGTATATATACCTTTACCATTTTATCAAACTTGGACATATTCTTTTATTTAACACACAACATAATTATTGAATTCTTCAAACATTATGAAGTTCTGGTGGCAGACATAAAACAAAATTTCACAAATGAAGGTGATAGAAATTGCAGCTTTATAAAGAGAAATATCGTCAAAATGATATTTGAAAAAGGGAGATTCCTGCAATATATTCTTTATATAAAGAACACAAGTTTTGTTTTAGTCAACAGTTAATCCATAAATGAAGAAAAATAAAGTAGAGAACATTGTTCAACCCAACTATAAATTTTTTAATAATGTCTGTGAATCTTCCACACTGGTTATGCCAATTTCATTATTCTATGAGTTATCTCTCACTCTTTTCTCTTTAAGATAAGGTGCCAATATTATTTAATAAATGATAAAAGGGAAGTTCTTACCTTGAAATTGTTGCTGCGCCTTCGTTTCTTGAGAATGGATGAGTAGAAAATCTTATTTATAAACTGTGAAGTAACATGGGTGCTTGCTAGAATAAGGAGCTGGAAGAAGGAGAAGGATGATGCAGCTTTGCTGGAGTTGGAAGAAGGAGAAGGATGACATAGCTTTGCTGGATCTGGAAGAAAAAAAATGAAGAAAATTGGGTATTTGTGAACTGAGAAGGGCCTTGGGTGCTTGCTGGAGCTGGAAGAAGGAGAAGGACGCCGCAGCTTTACTGGATCTGGAAGAAAAATGAAGATAATCGGGAATTTGTGAACTGAGAAGGGAGAGGCAGAGAGCTGCGAAAAAATTGGTGGGTTGCGATTTTAGATTTGAATGAAAGTGAATATGAATTAGGGATAGATTTTTATTTATTTATTTAATATATATATATAATTTGAAAACCGGTTCATAAACCGGTTAACCGTTTTTAGTTTTTCCCGAACCGGTAACCGAACTGGAAATTCAGTTTTTTTAATTTTTTGAACCAAACTGAACTGGTTTTTTGGTTAACCAGTTTTTTCGGTTCGGTTACTAGTTCGGTTTGGTTTTTGCATTTTTTTGAACACCCCTACAACCAGCTACCGTGACAAGAATGAAAGCCATAAATTTTTCAGAAAACAATCGTTTAGAGTGGAAAGGGAGATAAGAATATCAAAATTTGTCCAGATTAGAAAGATTTGTTGAGGTTGTTAAGTGGTTTTTATTTAACTTATGCATTTATTTAGTTTTGTATTCTATTTTGGATTGAATATATGTTACAATAGAAAATAACTGATAGAAAATATTTGTTGGTGATTGTTGTGAATCAAATTCGTGAACGTGAACATTAGTATTGGTTTTGCATTAAATTACAGAATATGGAAGAGTCAAGTTTGCCTCATTGCAATGATATTGAGGTAAATTGTGCTCGAAACCTTAACTTTTTCGTTAACATGATTTTAAATTTATTGTATCGTATTGTTTCTTTTGATGTGTTGTATTAGTACATTCTAATTTTGTCTATTATAAAACTATTAAATGATTAGGAAAATGAACGTGATGAATTAGAAGATATGTGATGTGTAGAGGAAGAAGTGGAGCCTCATATTGGAATGGTGTTTGATTCAGTTGATAGTCTGGTGAAGTATTACAAATGGTATGGTAACAAAATGGGATTTGAAGCAATGATACGTACGTCAAAGAAAGATGATGATGGAGAGATGAGATATGTGACAGTGGCATGTTCTTGTTCTGGGAAAGAGAGATGTAAGTCCAGAAATACCTTGAAAAAACAACCTATTGCCAAAACAGATTGTAAGAGTCAAATTAGTGCAGCTTTAAATGGTGAATGCAAATGGAAAATTAAATCAGTTGTACTTGAATATAACCATGATCTTACAAGTCCAATAAAAAGAAGATATTTCAAGGTTAACCGAACGATACAACCTTATGTGAAAAGGAGACTTGAAGTTAATGATGTGGCTAAGATTAGACTGTGTAAAAATTTTCAGTCATGTTCAGTTGAGGCAGAAGGTATAGAGAATTTGACGTTTCTAAAAAAAGAATGTAGGAACTACATTGAAAAAGTGAGAAGGCTACGACTTGGAGTTGGAGATACTCGACAGTACTTGAGTATTTTATGAAAATGCACAAGGAGAATTCAAATTTCTGGTACATGATTGATGTAGATGAAGAGAGTCGATTACAAAACGTGATATGGGTTGATGCTAGATGTAGGGCTGCATATAAAGAATTCGATGATGTTGTCACCTTC